CCATATCCATAGCGTAATAAGGGCAGTTTGATCTCCTTAACTGCGCCACTGAATCAATATTATGTGTTAATGTTCATACAAGAGTTTTTTTAAATAGATAAATATATTTAAAGATATTCCTAATAAAAATTAAGCTGTGATAAACTATTTAGGTTTGTTAACTTTCCAGATTTATAGTTAATTACATTGGCATTTTAATTGACTCAATTAGAATTGTGATTCACTGTAAATAATAAAAAACAAATAGTTTTATGTCAGAATGCTAACTGTAATCTAATTAAATTCTGTGGTATTCAAAATAAATTTGTAAATATATATAAATACATTTTGAAAATATTTTCGTTTTATTTTCTTTTTTGTCATCGCATTTGATGATAATAATTATTAGTATTATTTGTACATAACAAAGTGCTCTTGATTACTGAATTAAATTAATTTTATAAATTGTTGCCTTATTATTTATTATAAATAGGACCATGATAGTTTTTTGTCAAATTGGACATTCTAATTTCAAAGTAACATCCTACAATACTTAGGGGTCTATTCTGTAACAATTCCTTTATATTTAACGGCATTTAAAAATATTTTCTTCTTTACTTCTGTCATTATTTAAACGGATCTTTAAAATACACTAGAGGACTATCTTAAAGAAATCTGTTTAAATGATGACAGAAGTAAATTAACGAATACTGTTACGTTATAAAATAATTAATAAATATATAAATAAATTAATTAAATGACGCCCAGTATATTATAAAATCCATCCAACAAAATATTTTAATTATCAGCAGTTTATTATTATCTAAACAATTGGCCAATATGAAAAACACCGTGGGGAATGCGAGAAAAGAATGGATACGGGGTCATGCTGGCTTAGGGCGTCGGCCTAGGGGATTAAGTAAAATTAGATAAAAAATTAGGTTGTGTCTAACCAGTGAACAAAGGGTGCCCTCAAAAGAATGTAAGTAGATTGTTCTTATTTTATTATGTCTATATTTTTGATAGTGGAAAATATAATTGGGTTTTTTGTAAGTGTTCTTATTTTTCTGTGTTCTCCTCCAACCCTTTCTGGTAGTTAGTGGCTACGCCGACGGGGTTAATAAAACACCCCGTAGCAATACGAACATATTTTTAAAGGCCGTTAAATATAAAGGAATTGTTACAGAATAGACCCCTTAATATGTATAAACTAATTATTTTAAAAATTATATTTACTATTTATATAATGTACATTTACTGTAAAAATCATAATGACAAGAAAACACTAAAGATTCTAACTTCCAAACCGGTTCTGTACTGTAAATAATTTATTTACAACTAGGCATTCCAACGACCTGTCCAAATGGCTACCAGTGGGGACTGACAGTTTAGATATGGCAACCCTTTTGTCAAATAGTCGTTTTCTTTTTACAAGCATACTTGACTAACTAAAAGTTAGATTCTGATCTAAGCTTAACTGTAAAAAGAATGCGAATTTTGGTTGACAGGTGACGTGCCCCATGCCATCCGTTTTAAAACAATCCATATTTTAATCAAATTTTATAATTTTTTCAACATTCAACACTATAAATCTCACCCCCTGTTATCATAGTCTTTTATTCTCTCTAAAATAATGAATTCATTGGATATGTTTGTTCATATGATGCACAGAACACTCACTTTCTGTGATGGTTTATGGTTGACGTCAAGTACCGTGCACCTTAGCATCGGTAAGGGGGGAAGAGCGATTCTGACTTACAATCATAAAAAGAACGTACATCTCAGCTTAGTCGATGTAAGTTAGCTCAGATTAGTTGTAAAAAGAAAACGACGATTAACAGGGTCATTGCCTGGCAAATATTTATTAATTTAAATCGATTTAGCAAAAATGTGTTTTAAAACCAATTTTTAGTCTTTAGATATTTAAAAAATAATAATTGCTTACATTTTTACTTCAAGGCATAAGCTTTTGTTTATTTTAAAAAATATGGATGATCAATCTATGTATGTCTTTTCCTTTGCATTGAAAGTGTAGCACTGAGCTACACCACTTCTGAAAATATCGTTCCATTTATACAAAATGTATGGATAGAACGATATTTTCAGAAGCGGCATAGCTTAGTGAGTGCTACACTTTCGATGCAAAGGAAAAGACCTACTATCTATTTCATTGACCTTGTCAAATTACCAGGCCTACAGGGTTGCCATAATTTTGCCATATCATAACCTGTCAAAACCCACTGGTGGCCATTCAGTTTGGAATGCCTAATTGGTTACTCTAAATTGAAACAAAAACATTTGCATGTATTAGACAATGAACTGGAGTGAGGTAGAATGCCTGTCAATAAGATTGCCATTTTATTTTCCATCTCGCTCGAGAGTATTTATAATAACTATTTTCAATTTCACTCTAAACAATCCTGATATACCAAATTTTGGATCAGATAATAATGTGGAACAGAAAATGGATATTATAAATAATTTCGATAGTTATGTACAATAAAAATGGCTTCGCCCATAGAGTCGCACCTAGTCCTATTGACACAACACGCACATTGTTATTCTATCCCACTTCTGTTCATAGATATTAGATAAAGAGAAAATTCGCTCAATGTAACCAGTAAACTGTGTATTTAAAATGCATTTTCCTTTGAAGTTTGGTTCCGGTTCTAGTTAACCAAATTAGAACCAACCATATTCCTTTCATAAACAATGACGTCACTTATAACCATTTGGTTAACATTTTTGAACCAGCCTCGCGAGTCGGTTCTAATTTGCGGTATGTTCTATCCTTATTTAAATAGTATTCTTCTCATTGTCTAACTTTTTAAATTTAGTTTTCCCGCGGAACCTAAATAGTTCCGTACGAGGTCAACTAAGAAAATAGATCTTACTAGACACTTTTTTTATAAATATGAATAAGGAAAAAAGAACTTAGACAATAATGTTAATAAAAGTAAAATATGTAGTGATCGACAAAACTTCCTAGAAATGTTTAGTATTTGAGATGAAATGTTCAAGGGCGTGTGTGTGTGTTTATTTTAACACCATTAAGATTAAATCTTGGACTGAAATGAGATTCAAAAAATGTGCCACTATTTTTCAAAAGAAGATTATCATTCTGTTTATCGCTAGAAAAAGGTCTGCATCGTTCGTTAAATGCTTTGTCGGTAGTGTCGGTTTTATTTCTATTTTATTTTAAAGAGTTTTAAATTAGTTAGTACCTATTATTTTCGTCTGTTAATTGCCCTGTCGGTAGTGTCTATTTTATTTATATTTTATTTTTATATTAAAGACTTAAGTTAGTTAATATTTTTTCTTCTATATCATATAGCTTTAGTGTTTTCTTTGGCAAATAACTAACTACACAAAAAATTAAAAGAAAATAAAATTGAGAAATAACTTTAAAAATGAGTCACACGTGGTATTTAAATTTACACCAAAATGACATATGACTGACCGAACCAATAACCCAATTCATTCCATTGGCTTTTGTTATGACGTCATCCATATGAACCAAAATCTGAACCGCTGTCAAAAATACTGTCAATTTAACGTCAACCATAACCAGAACCATACGTCAAAGGAAAACGACTAAAATGAAATCCCAATATCGCCTGGTGAGAACTACTTTTGACATTTGGAGTACTCGGACGCATGCGCATTATTGATGTAATCTCATGATTTTTACAGTATTGGTTTTTGCAATTTTGGGTGTGATTTTAAGGTTATTCGTTATTCTATAATTTCTTTTGTTTGGTTTTGTTCTTTGGCGTCTTTAGAGTACCTGTGTTTTGTAGTTATAGTTTTTAACTTACTTTATTTACCTACTTCATCAGGAAGTACTTACATTTAAAATTTTTTAAAAATAAATTGGTTGTGTTACCTACTTGTTGATTAAATCTAACTGTAAATTTTGAAAAAAATAAATGAAATTTATTGTGTTATTAATTTAGAAATATAAAAAGACCATGAAGCATTAACCTGCATTTATTATGCTCGTGTAGCATCTCTGTCGAGATACGGGATTTGTCTATGTTGAAACAACTAATTCCAGTGATTATTTTATTCTTCAAAAGAAGATCGCCAGAATAATAAATAAAGATCCTAAATGATTCTTGTCCACCAATAATAGTAGAATACGGTATTTTGAGTATAATAATGTACCAATATTGCAAAGGTTCACTAGAAACTTAAAGGGTGAACGACTGTACGAAAGTATATTTATAAAAGGTATGTATCAACAGTTCACTAGATTTTTATTAAGATGATAATTGTACGATGCTAAAGCTAGATAGGTGAATAATAATAGATGAATGCAACAATGACTAGGTACATATGTGGCCAGGATATCACTTTTAAGAATATAACAGAAGAGTAAGTTGGATTTTGTTACTGTTGAGTTTTAGAAATATGAATTTCTGCTGATTTTAATACATAAAATGGTTCAAACGGACCTGCAAATACACTACTTTGTGCGCAATCTAACCAACAGTCTCCTGTAACGTGATGCGCAAATTAAATTTGGCACACTTTCATCAATACGGATTGTTCCATTTCAAATATACAGTTGAATTGAAACAAAAAATAAACATCTGCATGTATTACGATTAAAGACAAAATGTCGTCCATTTTTTCTTCTGATTTACATTGCCATGTGCAATCTATATAACTATATCATTGGATCACACCAAATCTTATTTACTGCTTTTTGGTGAACACTTTTTGAGATAAACAACCATATTCTCCTCTATACTCTATAATCATGGACCCAAATGATAGGAATAAAGAATAAACAAACAATCAGCGCGGTCATGTACGTCAGTTAGAGTTAAAAGTGTTTATAGAACTTCAGAATACGATCGCAACTCTTGTTTGATGATGACAGCTGGCAGTCGATAGTTGACATAAGGCTGGTTTATTGTTTTTATTTGTTCTTCCTTCTTGTAAGCCGAATATGAATGATAAATAATTAGTGGGAGTTTTGTGCTTAATGTATTATTTATTTGATTATTAAAACGATGGACGTGAAACAAGAATCCTTTGATCCGCCTGATGTATTAATTAAAATAGAACCAGATCTTGGCACCGATCTACAAACGTTTAAAAAAGATCGCGATCATGGAGAGCTTGGCGTCGCAGGAGGGCACGTAAATTTAAATGTAATGGAACCAGAATTTGTTGTATGTGAGGATTCTAATATTGAACAACCTTTGGATTCGGTTCAAAATGTATCCATAAATATTAAACAAGAACTTGATGATCGTGAAGTTAAAGTAGACATTACTGATATCAAACAAGAAGTTCCTGAATATGTACCGATTAAAAGTGAAGGTGAACTTTTGAATACTTATTGTGACTTACCGACTTTGAAAAGTGAAAATACTGATTATCCGGACTATTTAGAACTGCCGTGTAGTAGTAAGCAAGGCGAAAGGAAATCATTAAAGGATAATGCGAAAGTTGTTTCTAAGAACAAGAATAGAAGGTACCCTTGTCCTATTTGCCGAAAATGTAAGTGTGCATTAAATTAGCTTCGTATTTTTCACTAGATTATAGGTGCTTTTAGTCAACCTGATTTAGTTTTAAGTTAAATTCAATGATTGGGAAATTTTTTAATGTTTTTACTGGGTGGGCATCTATTGAATAATAATAATAATAATAACGGGTCTTTATTTGCACAAAATAGTAACATCGTACAATTAGCATGGGCGAGGTTTAGCCTGTGCCTATTCTTACACCTAACCCTAACAAAATATTTACATTTAAATAACTATACAATTAGGTTTATCTATACAATCTGTCATTAGTAGCTCATTATATCTAACAGTTTACTTTTGACAATAAAGAGTTGTCTTTTTAAAGCATTTTTAAAAACAGATAGATAGTGTAAAGTGTTGTACAGAACAATTGTGTTATATGAAAAACTATGATTATAAATAGCACTAAAGTGACGACGCATTGATAAATTAAAATTGTTTCTTATGTTTACATTGTGCGTAGACGGTCTAATTTGCTTTTAAGATATAATGGTGACGCAGTAGAAAGTATTTTAAAAAGAAAAGAAGGGAACATAAATTTATAATAATAATAATAATAATAGAGGGGTGGGTGGCTCAGTGGTAGTCTCTGCCTGTGGATCCAAGGGTCCTAGGTTTGAGTCCCACTGTTGGCCAGGATTTTTTTACTTAATTTAATTATTTAAAATTAATTCTGATGCCTTGGTAGGATTCCCCACTCGACCATTCACTATTGGGTTCTAATTAACAATGCTGTTCCTAAAGTGGCGCTGGGAAACGGTAACAAAGCATACACATAACACGAGGCTAATGATCTTAGTAGTAGATTCTGATGACACCAAATTAAAAAAAATAATAATCTTTATTTTGAGGAACCCTTATAATACATATAAGTAAGACAATTCTTAAACAAAAAGTCAAGGAAAATATATGAATGATCACATAGAGTAATATTCATTAATTGTGTATGGTTCCAAATTATTTAACAATTCATGTACTTCCCTTTTAAGTACTTTAACATTTGCTAATCTTTTTATTGTATCAGGCATTTTATTGTACAACTTTACACAGCTGTACCCTGCTCCGTGTTCTGTAGCTGTCAGTCTATGTATTAGATATACTAGGTTTATATTTCTCAATATATAAGCATTCGTTGGTTCAAAATTTGAAAATAAACCTCTATTTATTAAATAAAAAAATTAAGCATTCCTGGATGTATATGCCTATCACAGTCAAGATTTTATTTTCTCTAAATTTACCTCTACAAGACTCTCTCATATTCAAACTGAGCATAATCAGCATTATTCTTTTTTGTACTAAAAAAAAAGCCTTTCAATTGAATTGCTTCCACCATAGAATATTATCCCATATCTAATTCGGGATTCAAAATTTGCAAAGTATACCATTTTTAAACTATCCCATTCCAAATGTTTCTTCACAACTCTGATGCTGTAACAGATCTTGTTCAGTTTTGTACACACAAACTCAATATGGTTGTCACAGCAGTGAAAACTATCAATATATAGCCCCAGAAACTTAGTAGATTTCTCATGCTGGTAACCGTGTTGATTTTTACTTAATAAGTTACAGGTCGTAATTTTTTTTTTTATTACAGATTATCCATCTTCGAAATCAAGATTTGACCATATCGACGAACATTTTAAACCGCGCTCTGTAACTGGTAAGTTTTCAATTTTACTTTTTCCTATACTTATCGAACAATTTAGTAAACAGTGAACTTAGGACCTCTACACTGGTCAAAAATCATTTGATTATGAAATATCAAAAATATCTCGATTTCACATGAATATAAAATAATAGTTAAATGCGCGATAAACATTTATATGACTTTTATTTTAGGAAAAAACAGAAAATATTACGGTCAATTTTCACATTTTCTATTCCATTTTTTTAATTTTTCATTACCATTGATTAGATTACCTGTGCCTTAAGTCATTGAAAATGGAATTGATGATTTAATGCTTTAATTCAAAGTTCACATATTACTTTAACAGAATTCAATAAGGGCCAGTCTTTTCACCTCTGAGTAAAGTTGAAAGTAACTACTTGCTGATTAAACTATAAGGCTATTGTTTGTCAATATGTCAAGTAAACCCACATGTAGCTTTACTCAGAGGGAAAAGATCAGCCTTAAATATTATAAACCTTTACATGTGGAAATGAATATCACAAAAGAACGTTGATCATTAACACTAAGTTTCACAAATTAGAAAGCAGCATTTTATTAGAAAAAATCATTCACGTGGTACATTGTATGAGATAACGGAATCAGACATTGCATGGTAGCACGGCATGGCTGCCTAGAGTTTTTTACATGGTGAGCTACGGTTTGTTAATATATTATGGGAATGTTTTGTTAGAGTTAGCACTGTTAGGCAGTCAGTAGTGTACGGCGACTGATTTCGTTGAAATCAATTTGAGTTTGATTTGGACGTAATCGTTCAGCTGTGTAAACAGTAGACTGTCAAGTAAAATGAGGTGAGGATCATTTGTGCTATAATTAAAGTAACAAAATATCGTCGAGTTTTTCTTCTAAAGAGGATGAACTATTAATTGATATGGTAAAGGCGGAAGCAAAAATAAATTATTAAAATTGAAAAACTATAGGGAGGTTAAATAAAATAAATTATTACAATTGAAGCTAGTTAAATAAGTATGGTTCCCCATACACGGAAAATTTATTAAAAATAAATTATTACAATTGAAAACGAGTTAAATATTCATGGTTCCCTGTTTACGGAAAATTGATTAAAACAAATTATTACAATTGAAAACTAGTTAAATATTCATGGCTCCCTGTATACGAAAAATTGATTTAAAAAAAATTATTACAATTGAAAATTAGTTAAATATTTATGGTCCCTGAATTCGGAAAATTTATTAAAAATAAATTATTACAATTGAAAACTAAAAAAAAACTATAGGAAAATAATTGCGGTTCGATAGCACAGGAGGCTAATCGATCCCGAAATTATGAAACCCCCTGTATACGGAAAATTAATTTTAAAAATAAATTAATTAAATATGACGGTAATAAAATGTAAGAAAATAAATGAAATTAAAGTTCGTATTACCTTTTACTAGTACGGGAAAATATTTAAATCGGAAATTATGTACAATACGGTATATAGAAAGTATATTTCCCAAATACACAAAATTAAATTAAATATTCTGGTCAAAATAATAAAAAACGGTAATTAATTAGAACGGAGTAATTAATTTTTAATTAAACGGTTGACCAACTGAGAAGTTAAAAAAAAAATAAAAGAAAACTGGTAGTTACGACACTCCCTATGAAAGAAAAATGAAGTTTACTATGACTACAGTTAACCCATCTACAATTAAAGTTCAGTAAAGGCAAAACCTCCTATAAATTTGAATAAAGTTTTCGGAATCCCCTTGTATCTTAGTTCCAAACGTTCGACGCTGGCAATTTCGTCGAACGAGAATGATATCATTTACGGTGATGTTTGGACAACGAAGGCGATGGTTATAGAAAAGATTATTTTGAGATTTGCCAAAGCCGATCAAAACGGTGTGTGAATTAATTATGATAGAAAACGTCGGGCTTCGTTCAATAATTAGTTGTTTTTAACGGAAACGGAATGATTCAAATATAATTGAATTAATAAATAAAATAAAAAGAAACTTACATGAAAAATACTGGGCATGAATCAAAATTCTTTCACTTATCCGACAGGTGTCCCAAACTAATTGTAAATAAAAAAAAAAAAAACAATATTCGGTTTCCTACCTTAGAAAAATAAACGGGGTTGTTCAGCAGGCTATCAATAACACGGTCACTATCTGTATTCGTCACTCGTCGGTAACAGAAGAGAGAAGAGCGGACAGCCCACGGTGGCCGGAAATCAAAAGAACAATTATCAGTTGTAATCTAATTTATGCTTTTTCCCTGAGCAAGCTTGAAGACTGGTAAACCGAAGTGGGAGATACCACCACTACAGCCGACTGTTTACAATTTGAAAATAAAAAATGTCCTACTAGTACCTTGACAAATACAAGTAGATAATTGATACGAAATCGACTCTCCAAATGCCCATTTGGATTTCGGTAAATATAGAAATATTTTTAACTACGAGGGTACTCGCAATTGTTGATAAACGGGAATTCCTGGGAAACAGAAATACGGGGGGATCTTCTACATGTTCTCAGGCGGGAATTAATTGAAATATACATTTTTAAAATGAATTAAAAATAAAATTTAGTGACTTCGTCACAAGGTTGTTATTTTTTTTATGTTGTTTTATGTTTATTCAACAAAATTATTATCTAATTACTAACCCTTACCCCATAAACTCTTAAATTAACCAGCCTCCGATAAGGTCACTCTAGTAAGGTCAGTTTCGTACGATAAAATTATGAGAAAAAAAGAAAGATAATTTCTACAGCATTGTACAATTTGATTTTGGTCGTCTGGCAAAACTGGTGATGAAGCAGGAGAGTAGGAGAATAGGGTACCAGATGTCTTCCTTCCCGTGTCACGCATTCTTGAAGTCTGGACCTTAAATTGTAATAAACAGCTCGTATTATTTCCTCTGGAATAGCGTTTTAGCCTGAATTCGCAATTTGAAGGCCCCCAGAGTGCGAGGTAGTATTTCGTACACCTTGGACTTTAGACAGCCCTACAAACAATCCAGGGGAGTCAAATCAGGACTTCTTGGGGGCCAACGTATGTCACCCCACTTTGAAAAAATGTCTAGTAGCGTTACCAAAGATCTTCTGGCGGTGTGGGCTGTGGCACCATCTTGCTGAAACCAGGTATTGTTACTAAATAACCCGCAACCTTCCTCGACCTGGCAAATACAGAGTTGTGGCCCCTTTTATTTAACGTTGCCAAATTAGCGCTTTTTAAAAACAACAAAACATTATGGTGGATTTCATTTTTTTGTCGTGTTCTTGCTAGGTGGAATCTATGTGAAATATATTCGTTCAGTTGAGTGCAATAACATACTTTTTGCGTTTTGTAGTCTGTGCGTAGATGAGCTAATATCCATGTAGGTGCAGGAAAAATCACATTTTGGGCCAAGGATTCTCCAGTTACAGTACAATATTATAAAAATAAAATAGACTTTTTAAATGAATATTAACGGGTTATAAAAAAAACCGATTACTTCTCGTGTACACGCATCTGAATTAAATTTAAAATTTTATTTAAAAATGTTTGTATGAATTTTAAAACATTTTACAAAAAAGTGATTATATTCTATTATTGTATTAAGGACAAATTGTTTGTGCATCAAAATTAATATGATTTTTATTTTAGCTTCCAGCTCATTGAGAAAAAAAGAGTTCAGCGGCCATGTTGGAAAATATTACGAAACTTGTTACCATTGCGGTCAATTTTTTCTGAATAAGTCGCATTTTCTGAGTCATTTTTTTATTTTTCATTTTGTAAAAAAAATTGCTAAAGTATGTAAGAGTAAACTTAGAATTAATAAGTATCGTAGTCGTAAAAAAAGTTTACAAAAAGTCATCAGAAATCGATCTAAACTGAATATAACATACCGTCCCAATAAAAAACTTTTTCAGTGTGAAATTTGTTCAAAAGTACTTTTATCCAAAGAATATCTAAATAATCATTTGAAAATACACTCTGAAGACAAACCATTCACATGCAAAATATGTTCCAAACGGTTTCTTCGAAAACAAACTTTGACAAGGCATTTGAAAAGTCACACTATAGAAACGTCGTTTAAGTGCGAAATATGTTCAAAAGCGTTTAGCTATGTAAGCCTTTTGAAAATACATTTAAAAATGCACACTGGTGAAAAACCGTTCAACTGTGAAATATGTTCGAAACGGTTTAGAGAGAAAAGCAATTTGAAAAAACACTTACAAATTCACACTGGGGAAAAACAGTTTCAGTGCAAGATATGTTCGAAACGGTTTTGCCAAAAATCTAATTTAAAAACGCATTTAAAAACTCACACCGGTGAAAAGTCGTTTAACTGCGAAATATGTTCGAAACAGTTTAGACTGAAACAGAGTTTAATTTCGCACTCAAAAATTCACACTAAAGAAAAACCGTTCGAGTGTGAAATATGCTCCAAGCAATTTACCCAGTCATCGAGTTTGAAAACTCACTTAAAAATTCACGATGGAGCAAAATGTTTTAGTTGTAAAATATGTTCGAAACAATTTATCCAGAAAAACTCATTAAATTATCACTTAAAAACGCACACTGGAGAAAAACCGTTTAAATGTAAGATATGTTCAAAGCGGTTTGGCCAAAGTTCCAATTTGAACACTCATTTTAAAACTCACACTGGTGAAAAACCGTACAAATGTGAATTATGTCCGAAACAATTTACCCGTAAATGCTATTTGGAATCTCATTTAATTAATTGCGTTTCACGAGAGAAGAACCCACCTGAAGTTGCAGTCGTATGCGCGAACGTGACGTCATAACCAGCGCCATATTATAAATTTGATGTTTTGTGATATTCTCGTAGTTATCTAATAGTTGGGTTTTTATAAAGTTTGTTCCAATTCAAACCCCAAAAGGAATGAACATAAAAAATATTGTTGATATAATTATAACTAAACATAAATATAATTTGTCTAAAAAGCAAACAAGTATGAATTACTTAACCTACTTAAATAGAATATAAATACAGGGTGATATTTGCATATCACACC